CCATTTCAACCACGATCACGGGCCTTCTCCAGGAGGCAGAGCCTAAGACTGCGCTGCACCTATTAGGCAGTCTCCTTGCCCAAAGTAGACTGCAAGGAGCGTGAAACTCTCCAGCAGGGAGAACTCCCGAGGGGAGTGAGACCACGGTAAGGAGGCCGCGGCACAGCTGCAGTGCGCGCTGCTCAGGAGGTAGAAGCAGGAGCACAAGGGCTGGGGGCAGCGGCACAGCGCAGGCTGTGAAAGAGGGAACACTGAGAGCATTCCTATGGCAGGACAGCCGACTTTGGCCTATATTAATAGGATGAGGAGAAAGGGGCAGCTGGCCAACTTAGGATGTGTTGTGCCTATAATAGCAACACACGCTTCCTTGCAAATGTATTTTATTTGCTTTTTGCTTTTTGTTTGTTTATTTCTGGGAAGGGTCGACAGCGTGTTCAGGGCCTTACCACCACACCCAGTCTCAATTGCTGTCCCAGAGCGCCCTGGGGGTGGGGCGGCACGGCAGGGCTGGGGATCGGATCCCTTGGCCCTGCTACAGGCGCTTCAGTCCACTATTTGGCCGGCCCTACACATGTTTTATTTTATTTTATTTTATTTTATTTTATTTATTTTATTTTTTTTTGGCGGAACCGGGTATGTGTTTTAATAATGATAGTAACATACACTTTCTAAAGCCAAATATTAATAGAAATACCTTTCCGACCTGAGCTAATCTTCACAACCTTGCAATGTAGGTTCTGCTCTTCGCCCACCAAACTGAGCCAGCAGGTATTCAATCATCTGACCAAGGGTTCAATCCCAGCCGTGGAGCTGAGATTAAATTCAGGTACTCTGTGCTCTTTTTTAACACAGAATCTTTTGTTTCTTTAGTTCGCTGTCTCACTTCGCAGCTTCGTCTTGTAGTGATCCCATCTCAGCCTCCCCAGGGCTGGCATTACAGGAGTACACCCCCACATACGGTGCAGTGTCCTACATGGCACGAGGTTTTGGGGCCCACATGACATGCTGCACCAGGGATCGAACCCGGGTCCTTGTGCTTGCCAGGTAGGGGCTGCGACCACCAAGCTATCTCTTTGGCCAGAGATTCTGTGGGCTTAATTGCTAGGCTCAGTGTCTTATTTGTCATGAAAGTCCAAAAGATTTTGTTTGCTTTTAAAGTTTCCTCAGGAAAGTAGTTATTTCGTAATTTTTGTAACTCATTTATTCCACTAAACATATCTCCTCATAGTAAAATACAGATTCAACTGTACCTGTACATAAGCAACTTCAGGATAAGAAACTCACCTTAATCTGTATTTTTTTAATAGGCCAAAGGTAAGTTGGAAAATGTCTTCTCTCAGAAAATGGACGCTCCTGAGGAAACAGGAGAAGCAGTTTCACACGGGGAAATGGAGTCTGTCCCTGAGGAAGCCCTGGGAATACCCCTGAAGGCCCATCTCTGAGAGAAATCCCTGAGCTGCTCCTACTGCCCCAAGCTCCTCCCGGCATTCCTGGACCTTGTGCTAGCTCCTGGCCAGAGAACACGTCAAGTGCTTGGTGCAGAACCTCTGGGACCACCATGCTACTGTCTCCCCCTTCCTGAGGAGCGGCCTTGGGCCAGGAGTGAGCAGGGGGAGGCAGAGACTCACTGGAGGCCGAAGAGGCCGGCGGGGGCGACTCTTGGCGCGGTGCCTGCGCAGGTTGTACTTAGCCAGTTGGTACTCATCGAACTGAGCGAACTTGTCAGTCATAGCAGCCCGGAGGCAGGCAGGAAGTGGCGCCAGCTTATGTTCCTCTTTTTTAGCCAATGCCTGAGGGGGGGTGGGGAGAGAGACAGACACAGACAGAGACAGAGACAGAGACAGAGACAGAGACAGAGACAGAGATAGAGAGAGATTCAGTGGTTAGACCCAGTGAAATCCTCCAAAACAGAACAAGATGATGGGGTTGCTAGAAAGTACAGAAAGCAAGCAAGTTCCTATCCCCAGCTCTAGGATCACATTTGCTGGCCAGGTCTGGAAGCGCTCGTGTAAGCTCTGCACTTTGGGAGACTGAAGAAGGA